TCCTCCCTGCTCACAACAAGGAGGGCTTGGGAACTCCAATAACGCTCTGGCAGTGGGAAGCCATTCCCTGTGTCCTGTCCCTCCATCCCTTGTCCCCAGTCCCTCTCCAGCTCTCCTGGAGCCCCTTTAGGCCCTGCAAGGGGCTCTCAGGTCTCCCTGGAGCCTTCTCTTCTCCAGGTGAAAATTCCCAGCTCTCCCAGCCTGCCTCCAGAGCAGAGGGGCTCCAGCCCTTGGAGCATCTCTGTGGCCTCCTCTGGACTCTCTCCAGCAGCTCCACGTCCTTCTAGTGCTGGAGACCCCAGAGCTGGAGGCTCTCATGGAAGTGGAGCTGAGGGGGAGAATCCCTTCCCACTCACCCCCAGCACCAAACAGGGTGCATAGCCCATGCCAGGCCCTGTCCAGGAGCACTGGGACACCCAGTCAGGCCACCAGGGCTATTTTTGCCAGGCTCTGTCATTACCAGCCTTGGATGATGACTATATTTAAAGTTCCAGAGCCATAGGCAGTGCCTTATTTTATCTCTGCAAAGCACAAGGGCTGTTACTGGATTTACAAACAGAAATTACAACCCCACGACATGTGTTTTTATCTCCTTTCCCTTCACAGGGGATTTACTGGTAAATGCAAACCCAAGTCAAACTCAAGCCACGTGGCAAAGTGCCTTAAAATCCCAAGGGTCTCGAGGTAAGAGATGGAAACATCTCCTGACATTTTCTTCATCATAAAGATATGGAAAGGCAGAGGGAGGAGGGTCTGCTGCCCTGTGCCAGGGCATTAAACACGTTGGGGTACTTCCCTGCCCCAGCCCCTGAATCCCATGGCCCTGGGAGGGTGTAGGGCAGAATCCCATAGCCCTGGGAGGGTGTAGGGCAGAATCCTATAGCCCTGGGAGGGTGTTGGGTAGAATCCTATAGCCCTGGGAGGGTGTTGGGTAGAATCCTATAGCCCTGGGAGGGTGTAGGGCAGCATTCCTGGGTGCCCTCCTGCCAAGAGGGCTCCCGTGGGCAGACAAAGGCTCCTTTTTGTCCCTTACCTTTTTATAACTCCCCTCCCCGGCCGGTGCAGCTGCTTTCCTGATGACGTCACCCATTCCATCACCTCCCTCCCGACTCATCTCCTTCGCTCCCGGCTCCTCACGTGGCAACAACGGGGCATCTCAGTCCTTCCTCGGCTCTTCCCCGGGCACCGCGGGACGAGGCGCTCGCTCCAGAGCCGGGACCTGCCGCAGCCCCCCGGCCCCTGCCCGGGATGCCTCTCCAGCACCTCTCCCTTCCCGGCTGTTCCAGAGCACCTTGCTTTTCCCAAATAAAGTCACGGAGCCCCAGGCAGCTGATGAGAGGGAGGCGAAGGCTGTCGGGGCCAGGGAAGCCGCGTCCTCCTCCAGCCACTGCCAGCGCCGGATAAAAATAGCCCCGAGCCTTCCCCGGCTACACAAGGGCAGGAAAAAACCCGGTGTCTGATGTCAAAATCCAAGCCTGGCAGCGCAGCCCTGGCCAGGAGGAAGGGGCTTTTTCTCCCGGGGTTTTCACTGTGGAAGTTATCCCAGTAAATCCCCAGGAACCCGGGATATAAGGCTTGTGGTCCCGAGCCCTCGCAGGGCTGCTCAGGCAACCACAGGATGGAATTTTCACTCTACACAGAACCCACCAGCAAGGAGCTGTTTCTTGGCTAAATCAGCTTTGTCAGGTGCAAAAAATCCTAAATTTCTGGGAATGAAGCAACAGAACT